AAAAAGAGTAAATTATTCATTTGTTTGGCATACAAAGGACATCTTTGAGCCAAATAACTGCCATCTTTTCAAAGGTACCTCATTTATTTTACTAACATATACATTCTAAGTGATTTTTATATTTTTTGCTGAGCACATGCATCTCATGGAAAAAATAAGGATAGTGAGGACACAAGGTTGCAGCACTCTATTTATATCAAGACTCATTCTGCGCACAGAAAACAATCCAAAGAAAATAAAAGATACAGGTGTATTGTCAAAAAAGACAAAAATTCATTTAAAAACTTGATAGTATAATATATATATATATATATATATATATATATATAAAAGAATTCTCACTATATGAAAGAAAGAACGAACTAGATATGAATGCATAAAATTAGATTTAGAAAACAAAAGAAATACTTATACAAGTGCATGTCTAATTCGGGATTATTCTAACTCCTGGTGACCAAATAATCAAAATTTTATTAAAGACAGGAGGCGAATATTTGCTTATCTTTCTTTACTGTAACTCCCAGCAGCAAAGAAACAGTTAACAGCAGTGTAAAAAAAGTTTAACCAATCAGTATGCATTACAGTAGTATAAACTGTCATCAGGCCCCTCCCAATTCCTCTTTCTTGATGTAGCCGAACAGTCGTAGAGTCAACCATGTAAATGTAGAACCATTAAAAACGATGAACAGGTAACGGTGTAGGTATCCGGTAGGAGGAAGGTAATGATCAACCCGCGGGTAGATTCGAGACAGAAGGCAAATGATCTTCACACTAGGAGGAAGGAGAAACATCGTGAAAGTATGGTCTCTTTGGCAAGAGAAAAACCAAATTAAATGCAGTGAACTGAATTCCAATTTAAGTGCAAGCTCTAACTTATGATAATTAACTGTGTGGTATGTAGAGTAAGTGACATACCTAGAATATAATAACCAAAGTACAATTGAAAGCGGGTTTAGCATATAATAACGACCTAATGAGTATAGGCTAGAGAAAAGAGAGGATGTTAGTCATAGTTAGAACTGGAGATAGTGCAGGATACTTACCTAGAAGGGTGGGTAAGGAGAATCCAGGGTGGGAAAATATTCGCCTCCTGTCTTTAATAAAATTTAGATTATTCGGTCACTAGGAGTTAGAATAATCCCGAATTTTATGGCAAGACAGGAGGCTTCGTATTTGCTATTTTAACGCACAGATAGCAAGGACAGAGAAACGTGTGGAGAATGTCTAAAATAAAAGGTACGGAAGGTGGATTCTCTAGACCAATCAGCGGAGGATAGAATTTCCGCTAAGGAACCTCCCGCTATGAGTGCCGAGGAGGCGGCTGAGCCTCTAACCTAGTGAGCCCCGAAAGATGCATAAATGCCAGCCAGGGCTAGAAGCCATTTAATCCAACGTGCAATGGTAGGGCACGAGACTGGTTTGTGAGGTCGTACATAAGATACCAGGAGGGGCCCAGTAGGTGTTCTGAGAGGGGTAGTGCGAGCAATATAGTGTCGTATACACCGGGCTACGCAGAGGAGGGGTTTCTCCGAGAAGTAAGGGTAGCTCACAGTAGATGAGTTGGTCTTGGTGCGTCTAGTGATATGAAAGTGTACCCCCTCTGGTGTGAAATCGAGGGCATGAAAGTCGAAAGCCCTGATGTCGGAAACTCTTCGGAAGGAGACCAAGCAAAGGAGGAGAGCTAATTTGGCTGACAATTGGCGTAGGGAGAGCGGCTCGTTGTCCGGCCAAGCTTCCAAGAACGTGAGCATGATGGCCACGTCCAGAATTGATTATATTTGGGATTCGGGGGTCTAGTGATGCGGATGCCCCGCAAGAGTCTACAGATAGAAGGGTGTTTGCCTACTGAAGAATTTTCGATAGGAACGTGCGCTGCAGAAATAGCAGACCGAAACACGTTAATGGTCCGGTAGGATTTGCCCTGGTCGAACAGAGACGACAGGAAATTGATAATATTAATTATAGATGTTGAAAAGGGATCAAGGTCCCTTTCCAGGCACCAGCAACTCCATAGGCGCCATGCAGAGATGTAAGAGCGTCTAGTTCCCGGGGCCCATGAATCCCAAAGGAGTCCCTGAGCAGTTGTCGAAAGGCCTGAGACATTCCAAGATCCCCTGAAACGGTCCAAGCCACTAGTTGGAGATGATCCTGAATTGCCAATGGGTGAAAGTCGGGTCTCTGAGGAGGTCGCAGGTGTTGGGTAGCAGCAGGGGGAAGTCCACTGACATTTCCAGGAGGTAAGGATACCATGGTTGGGCCCGCCATAGCGGGGTCACTAGTGTTATCTTGACACCTTGAGTTCTGAGGTGCTGTAGTGTGCGTGGAATCATGGAGAATGGAGGGAACGCATATGCCCCGGACATCGGCCACATCTGTAGGAAGGCATCGACTGGGTCCGGCAACCAGCTGTAAAAAGCGTCCGTCTGAGGCGAGATGCAAAGAGGTCCAGGTTGAATGGTCCCGGCAGACCTGGAGACGGTGAAATATTTGTAGATTCAGTTGCCAAACGCTGGAGTCCCTCCAATGTCGGGAGAACCAGTCTGCGACGAGGTTGTCTGATCCCGGTAGATATTCCGCTCGCAGGGAGATATTCCTGTCTAGGCAGAACTGATATAATTCTTTGGTCAGATCTGAGAGCATCTTCGATTTGGAACCTCCTAGATGGTTCACGTAATGAACTGCGAACACGTTGTCCATCTTCAGCACCACGGAGCAGTTGTAGACATCTTTGGCGAAACTGCGAATTGCGAATGAGCCTGCAATCAGTTCGAGGCAGTTGATATGAAGTGCTCGTTCCGAGTGGGACCAGAGTCCTCCTGTAGAGCTTTCCGAGCAGGTTGCGCCCCATCCAAGCAGACTTGCATCCGATTCCAGTCTGGTTGGGATCCGAAAATGGCTGGATCGTAGGACGTAGGACGTCGACTGATGTAAGTATTGGGTCTTCAGGCATTGCAGTGCTCGGTAGTGCAGTGGGGCACGAATATAGCCTGTATTGAGGCGGAGAGCAAGCCGATGGTGCGGGCTAGGTCTCGCAGGCGGAGGTGTGGTGATATCAGTAACCTCCGAATGTCTCTTTTTATGGATTTGACTTTGGATGCCGGAAGTTGAAGGACTGCTTGAACAGAGTCTATCTGGAATCCCAAGAACTGTATCATCTGGGACGGTGTTAGGGATGATTTCTGGTGATTGATCACGAAGCCAAGATTCTGCAATAGGGCAGAGGTCATGCTTATGTGAAGGTGGAGAGTTTCCTGGTCCTGTGCCATGAGGAGGATATTGTCCAGATAGATTATGGAGCGGATTCCTTGGGAGCGCAGTAAGGCCATCACTGGTTTCATTAGTTTGGTAAAGCACCAGGGTGCAGAAGATAGGCTGAAGGGGAGGCAGGTGAACTGCCATAGTGCTTGTTCCCAACGAAACTAAAAGAGGCAGCGGTGTGCTGGTGTTACCGGCACCGTGAGGTATGCATCCTTTAGATCGAAGCGGGAGAACCAATCTCCCTCGGAGAGTAGGTCTCTCAATAAATGGATCCCCTCCATTTTGAAGTGATGGTATGTGATGAACCTGTTCAGATCTGTCAGGTTGATGACAGGTCGTAGACCTCCTGATTTTTTCTTGACTAGAAACATGTTGCTTATGAAGGTCTGTGGGCCAACAACTCTTTCGATCGCACCCTTGGTAAATAGATCGTCGAGTTCGCTCCGTAGAGTCGACTCGTCTAACAGTGACATTTTGATTGGAGGAGGAGGAGAATTTTGTATTGGTTCGACTGAAAATTCCAGGTGGAACCCGGACACCGTCTGAAGGATCCAAGGATCCTGAGTGAGTTGAGACCACTGTTGGGAAAAAAGGGTTAACCGGCCTGCAATAGGAATATGAGAATAAGGAAGGTCCATTACCTGTAACAGTGTGACCACGGAGGGAAGCGGATCCACGTCCTCGGATAGCTCCGCGAGAGGGGAAAAATTGCCTGTGGTGGAATCGGGTATTGCCCGAGTTCCAGGTGTCTGAAGGTCGAGGCCTGTAGCCTGTGAAGGCGGCTCTGCCAGTCGCTCGGCCTCTATAGCGACCAGCTCTTCAGGAAAAACGCTGAGTGCAAAATAGCTTGCAAATGGAGGATTGTGCCTTTGTCAGCGTAGTAAAAACAGAGACGTGCTTACTTAGTTCTTTTATGAACTTGTCTCCGAATAACATGCCTTGAGCCTCTGGACCAAGTTCTTTAGTGCCCAATTCGGCAAGCTTGGCATCGATTTTATAGAGGACGGCCTTCCGCCGTTCAGTTGATATTGCCACATTGGCATTGCCTAAAAGGCATAAGGCCCTTTGTGCCCACTCTCGCACCATATGTGCATCAAATGTGCCACCTGATAAAGCCTCATCTGCAATAATGAAGATTTGTATGAGCGGGCCCGCCACATCCATCAACTTGTCTTGAGTGGCTTTCAGACCCTGTTCTAGACCCTTACGAGGGTCTTTCCCTGACTTGGTTAGAAAGGTCACAAGGAAAGGGTCAAATTCGGGAGTATTGGCCACCTTGTCTGGGATAGTGGGGCGTGGGCATTCTGCCCTTAATTTGGCTCTCACCTCTTTTTCTAAAGGCCGACGGAGCCACATTCTACAGTATTTGGCAATGTGGTCCGGGGGTGTCCATTCGGCCGATCTAAGGTGCCTGATGCATCTGGGGTCAAATAAAGGGCGGCCAGAGGTGTCAAATAAGGTATCCTCTTTTAAGTTAGGGTTTTCAGAGGTGAGATCAGACTCCAATTGGAATTCCTCTAGAGGTATGAGGGGGGGTTCATTAGTTGCAGAATCGGAAGGGTAAGGGTCTCGGAATGTCTTATGAGGCGGAGCCTCAGTATCCGAGTGTTCTGCGTAGTATTCGTCTAATACTTGGAGATTATAATTAGAGGTTGAACCCTCAAATGCGTCAAAATCATGTTGGGAGGTGGTTTGCTTGGGTTTAGAATAGGGCACTTTAGGATGTTTAGCAGGCGCTTTGCCTTTACCGGCGGTGGCGCTATCGCCCTTCCAAGGGCGTTTGCGAGGGGCTTCTTCATGCTCTGAAGCGTGAGAATCCTCAGAGTCTGAGAGTTGGGTAATGGTCGCCGTAGGGGCTGGGATTGTTTGCTCGTGGAAAGCCGCTAGAGCTCTGGGTATAGATTCAGTAATGGCATTGAATAGCCAAGCCTTAAGTTCGGCAGAAACTGCTGGTTCTGGCACATTTGACATAATGTCAGTAACAGTGGGGTCACCACAAAAGAAATTATTATATTTACAATATATATAAAAAAGTTTATTGTTTTTTGTTGTTTTTTTTTTGTGTGCAGACAAACTAATTACAATGAGGCGGTGGACTTAGACTGCGTGTAAAAAGCAGGAGAACAATTATCCTGTAACAGATGGGTTTGTCCAGAATTTATCAGTGGGGTTCACCCAGAGAGAGAAGGACAGTATAGTGTCCAAGATCTAATAACAGGTATGTGCCTGTGTTATCATATAGGGATTACCCTGTATAGAGGCAGCAAAGGGGGTCACCCTTGTAGGAAAGGCTAGAGGGGGTCACCCTTGTAGGAAAGGCTAGAGGGGGTCACCCTCAGAGTAAAGGCTGGAGGGGGTCACCCTCAGAATTAAGGAAGGATTTGTGTAAGCTTTTGGTAATTAAGCTGAAATCTGCAAGAAAAAATGAAAATTTTGAGTATGGGTATGTATCTTTAATTTTTTAAAACTAAAGGGTCTGGGGCTTTAAGAGATAAAAATATATACTTACCAAACGGCTGGGTCGCGTCCTGCAGTGAGAGCCGAGATGCGAGGGAACCGCCGCGCATAAGCTTGCCACAAGATGGCGCTGAGAGGGAAGCCCGGGAAAAAAAACCTGATAGAAATGGCCGCGGCATGAAAAAAAAGGCGGGACGCGTCTCTATGGAGACGCCAGGGCAACAGACATAGTGTGTGAGGAAACTGAGCGGCTGAGCGGACCGGCAAGATGCCGGGTGCCGCGGGGAAGGTGTTAGAAATTAAACTGACAGTACAATAAAATAATAATAGTGAAGAAAAGTGAGGTAATATGAATTTGTGGGCTGACTGGAAGTGTCAGCCCATGTAACCTAAGTAAATAGACGCAAAAGCAGAAACAGATATTAGGAAAACTGTATGAGAAATATTAAAATATCAAAATAATATACAATATATGTTAGTCAGCTAAAAATAGAGCATTAATAGGAGTATAATTAGAATAGACTCACCTGGGAGGCTAAGCAGCAAAGAAAGAGGAATTGGGAGAGGCCTGATGACAGTTTATACTACTGTAATGCATACTGATTGGTTAAACTTTTTTTACACTGCTGTTAACTGTTTCTTTGCTGCTGGGAGTTACAGTAAAGAAAGATAAGCAAATATGAAGCCTCCTGTCTTGCCATAAAATTGTGTAAGTGATGAGCCTCAATGAAAACAAAAAGTGTAAGGAAAGTGCTAAATATAATATTTCATTAACCCTTTTATGAAACAGGGTATCATAAGTGCATGCAAAATAAACAAAGACATGCAGTTACTGTGCCTTTAAGGCAGCACACTGCCTTCTTGAGTTACTGTGCGATGGACTTCTCCAATACTGCCATGGTGTTCAGTAGGGTGACACCTCCTTTCTTTTCGAAGGGCCTTTTAGACCCATGATGCAGAATAAGAGGGAACCACCAGATGTAAATAAATGTATATAAAAAAAGCAAATATTAAAAATAGAATAAAACGAAAAATCCATGGAATCCACTCTTTGAGATGCATTTAGTCTTTACATGATTTTTAATTTGGCATACAGCTGTTTCCCATATTTAAATGAGGATTGTGGCCACTTCTTCATTATTCCATAAAGTATTTCAGCCAATCCAAAGGGTCCTGTGGGTGAGTGGATGTGCAATCCTTTTGTGAATGTCTGTGTTCATAAGGGTCCAGGGTCCATGATACTTTGTAGCTATTCTGTGTATCGTGGATTATCTCTGACAAGTCACTTCTGATCACCTTTTTGTAACGGCAATGTCAATAATCCTTTGTTAATCATTCTTCAACACAAGCGGAGAGATAACTTGCAATAGAATCATATAGAGGAGAAAATATGTAAAGGAGCAAATACATAAAATAATCTAATATGTATATTTATCTATACATTTAAAACTTATTGAGCACACCTATTATATATATATTCCAAATAAAATGATGGTAATATTTACACATGATTATTAAGCATATATCTTTAGCTAAATAAGAAACCAATGTTATAAAATAAACCAAATCTAAACATGTTTTAAAAGATTTTGAAAAAAGGAATGGTAAATACATAATACATGTTTTAATTATAAGAAATTACATAATTAAAAGTCTGCATTAAGAAGGGTTGTAAATCTATCTTATTTATGTTTACCTTAGTTTCCTATTTGTACTGTGGTATGTGATATTATACCAAGTGTGTGTTCCCTTTGTCTCTTTTTTTCTATCCTTGTTGGAGGAGTGCATCACAGAGTCACTCAAGAAGGTAGTGTGCTGTCTAGTGCTTGTTTTCAAATAAGGCTGATACAAAAGCCACACTTTTTGGTGGTGCTCATCACTCAAACATTTAGACGTGTACTTGCAATTTTATTCCTGAGTCCTTGAGAATTGAGACTAAAAAGGGTTTAGAATTTCAACCTGGAAATCACAGACCTGTGAGCTTAACATCTGTGGTTGAGAAGTTAGTTGAAGGGCTGTTATGGGAAAATATTCAAGAATTACTTTTTGAAAAACAGGTAACGTCAAACTAACTAAATTGCATTTGATGAAGACGCTGGTAGAAATATAGATTGGGGTGTTCAAGTGTATGGAATCTACTTGGATACTGTTCCACAAAAAAGGTTGCTATTACAACTGAAATCAGTTGGTTCCAATGAAGCATTGTGTTCTTTGATAGAACACTGGTTTAAAGATAGAGTGCAGAGAGTTGTTATAAATGGAACATTTTCAAACTGGACAAAAGTAGAGTGACCCAGGTTTCTGTCCTGGGTACACATCTCTTTAATCTGCATAAATGATTTTGAAGTGATATTTGTCATTTGTCAGCACTTGCAGAGATAAAAAAAAATCTAGGTAAGATAATACCGTCTAAACATTGTATATCTTCTGTACAGAGGGATTTGTACAAAATAGGGGACTGGGCAGGGAAGTAGATATAGTGGTAAATTAGATTCAATACAGATAAATGCATTTTGGAAGAAGGAACCCACAAGCCACTTGTACATTAAACGAGGTTGATTAGGGATAACATTAAATGAACAGTACTTGGGATCAATTATAGATAACATACTAGGCAACACAATGCAATGCCAGTCTGCAATTGCAAAAACTAGTAAGGTGCTTTCATGTATAAAAAGGGGCTTTAATTCACATGACTAAAAAAAAAAATATTGACTCTTTATAAATCAATGATAAGACACCACCTCGATTTGCTGTGCAATTGTGGGTACCAGTTTTAAAGAACGATATTGCAGAACTGGAAAACGTTCAGAGACAATATGATACTGGACAGTGGATATGATAACACTATGAAATATAGTCAGTATAAACCACTATGTGTTAACCTGTCCATTAGTTGGAATATATAACAGACAAGAGGTCACCCATTGATGCTGTAAGAATGTAATCTTCACTTACAGGAGAGGAAATGTTTTTTACAGTTAGAACAATAATTATGGGGAGTTCTGTGTCTAAAGAGGTTATCTCATCAGGTTCTAAAGATATTTTTTTAAAAAGACCTAGATGTATTTGCTTTTTTGAAAAAAACTGAATATTCAAGAATATCATTGATATGTATGTGAACACGTCACTGATCCAAGGAGACGTCTGATTGCCATTATGGAGCCAAAAAGGAATGTTTTTGTGGAATTATTGGAAGTGGCTGCAATTGTTTTTTTATGCCTCTTTTGCATCAGCAGCATAAAATAATAGGTTACAAGGCTTAATTTGATGGACTTTAGTCTTTTTTTTCAACCTAGACTAGACTATGTACTGTACATATGTGTTTACTGACATCTAAACATTCCAATAGATAACCTCTGTGTGTCATTGTCCGTGGTGTATATCACACTGTTGTATAAATCGGGCCATGGGGAATTTGTAATTCTTCTGCCTTTAATTAATTCTCTATTTAAACTATCCATTTAGGGTACTTATTGGGTCTGTTTTAAAACTTTGCTTATGTTCCTGTGGCTGTTTCTGCCTCTTGGCGCAACTAGCAGATGGATCTCCTGGCAGAAGACCTTAGCTTGGCAACTTGGATCATTCACTCCCTGTCTTTCCTTATGGAATTTTCAATCTTGCACGGAACTTAAATTGCTTTCTTTTTTAACCTCTTGGATTAATTCTTGGCTCTGAACCGGGCCCTTAAGTTATTCAGATTGACTCCCAGCTTTGACTTTGGTTTTGTATATATACCCTCTCTTCTCTCCAACACATCCCCTGCTTTTTGCTCTCTTAGGGGTATAAATTGTACCTCACCAGTCTGCCTACTTCCAAAACTCCTGTTTAAGGGACATGCTAAACCTGAATTCATGGAGCTATTTTTGGAATTTTTCTCTGACATCTTGCTTTAGTATTTTTCTTATCTGCTTTAAGTGTATTTTCTTTTTTTCATAATATCATTATTTTTTCTCTTCTGTCACGTATTGCAAATAAAAAAGTCACTGTCTTACCTTACTGTTAAGAAACTGCACCATTCATATAGGCTTATGTTATAGTAGAAACACTGTGAGATCTGTAAACCTCAAGATTTAACTGTGCAATCAGAAAGTGTGGCAGACCTCCTGACTTGCCAGAAGATAAAAATGTAAATATAAACAAGATTCATGGGAAGTATCAGAAACCAGAAGTTTATGTACCTTATTATAGAAACATGGGGCAATATATCACATTAAATAGTAATGCTCAAAATGAATTTAGAAATATAAAACAGAAACTCCAGGCACCAGCACACCTGGGGATTTGGCCTCATTAATATGTTGTATTTTGTGTGCTTAAATCTTTGTAGTTTTTCAAAGTAACCAAATTTATGCTTTGCAGAAGTCGGCACCATAAATCCTGCCTATTTAGCTATGTCCATCATTCGAGGAAAAGATTTCCTTATCAGTGTGCAGTTCAACAACTGACAGCACTTAGTGAGCTGAACTGCCGGAAGCCAAGCAACCTGCATGAGAAG